GCAGCTTGCAGGCGGACGAGGTCCCACCGCAGCCTGGGTAGCGCCTGGCTGGGGCCCGACAGGGGCCCTGCGGGGAGCCTCATGGGGCTGAGCCGCCTCACGCGTCCCCCTCCCGCAGGACCCCTTCGGGGCTTTCCACATCAACAAGGGCCTGGTGCGGAAGTACATGAGCTCCCTGCTGATCGGGGAGCTCTCCCCGGAGCAGCCCAGCTTCGAGCCCAGCAAGAATGTGAGAGCTGAGTTCCCGGGTCTGGTGGGGAGGGCGGAGCCCGGCTGGGACCACAGGTGACAGGCAGGTCACTCTCCCGCGCCCCCGGGAGCGGGCGATTGGCCCCCGGGCCAGGGCTGCCCACGGGAGAACTGCGTGGGGCCCGGTGTAAGCTCGAGATTCTCACTCATGAGTACCCGGGCTCAGACGGTTAAGCCACATGGTGGGTGTCACAGTGGGTGGCGGCAGGGGCCACAGTCTGCCAGCTCACGGACTCCCGCCTGCCGTCCACCCACAGAAGGAGCTGACGCTGGAGTTCCGGGAGCTGCAGGCCACGGTGGAACGCATGGGGCTCATGAGGACCAACCCCCTGTTCTTCCTGCTCTGCCTGCTGCACATCCTGCTGCTGGAGGTGGCCGCCTGGCTCACCCTGCGTGTCCTGGGGACATCCTTGGTGCCCTTCCTTCTCTGCGCTGTGCTGCTTAGCGTGGCCCAGGTGAGCGCCGGCCCTGCCCCTGCCTGCGGGTGTCATACTCCCTGGCTGAGAGTGGCCGGGCCCAGCGTCTGGTGTGGTGCGCTGGTCAGCCTCGTGCTCCCTTGGATTCTTCGGTGTCCCCCGTGCAAGTGGCCCCCCAGGTGCTGCACCTCCCGACCTTGTCCTCAGGCCCAGGCCGGCTGGCTGCAGCACGACTTCGGGCACCTGTCAGTCTTCAGCACCTCCAGGATGAACCACCTGCTGCATCACTTTGTGATTGGCCACCTGAAGGTCGGTGGGGTCCTCGAGGGGCTGCCCGGGGCGCAGGGACCCGCTTTCCATTCCCGTGTCCCTGTCCTGTATAGGGGGCCCCTGCCAGTTGGTGGAACCACATGCACTTCCAGCACCACGCCAAGCCCAACTGTTTCCGCAAAGATCCGGACATCAACATGCACCCCTTCTTCTTTGCCTTGGGGAAGGTCCTTTCGGTGGAGGTCAGTGGGCTGCAGGGTGCACAGTGCCTGCCCTTGGGGCTTCAGGGCTGGGCTGGCTGGATCCCTGGCCGCTTCCCGGCGGCCTGCACAGCGGCACGTGGCGGGTCATCGGATGGTCGGCTCATCCTCAGGTGCTTCCTGACCCCGCACCTTGGGCAGTCACCCAGGAACGTCGTTCCGGATGCAGTCGGCCATCCATCTGTGCTTGGCCCTGTGTCTGTAGGTTTTGAAATCCTCAGAAAAAAGCAGCTGTGCCAGAGTGAGCGCTGTTACTTCCTGGGCAGTGTAGTGTGTGAACTGTCGGGGTCTCACCGTGTGGGAGTCCTGAATGTCCAGATGGATTTACAGCTCCAGTGAAGGCACCCGGCGGGTGTAGCTGTGGAGAGAACGGGCCCAGTGGGGAAGAGGAAGCCCCAGGCCCCATCCCCATGCATAGGGCCCCCAGGCTGCCCCAGGACTGCAGCGTGCTGTGCTGTGGGAGGGGTGTGGCCTGGACCTCATCCCTGTGGGTACCAAGGCGACAGCTCTGCCGCTGCCCTCCTAGTCCCTCTGGATTTCAGCTATGGACCGAGATCTGGAGCAGAAATCGCACCTGCGGCTGAAGGGAGACTTGGTAGGGCAGGATCTGCACACGTTCAGCTTGGCACTGCGAGGTTCTGAGTGACCAGCAGAGTTCCTGAAAAGCCAGTTGAAAATCCTGTCCCCAGGCTCAGAGCCACGGCGCTGCCAGGTCCCCTCCCCCACAGGGACACTCCAGCTCTCCAGGAGCCAAACTCACCGAAGGTGGCTCAGCTCCAGCAGGAGTTCAGGGTGGCCTGGCTCTGCCCTCACCTGGCACAGGCAGTCTGTGCACGCCTTGGCAGTGCCGGCTGCCCTGGCACAAGGCTCCCGCCCGAGGCTTCTGCCCCACCAGTGCCCAGGTTTCTGGCTTCTTGGTTAAGGGTGGCTGTGTGTGGCAGCGGTGTGGGTCACTGTGGGGACAGCCCTGGGCTCTTCGCACTTGTGTGGTCGCCAGGGGGTCCAGGGAGGGAACGTCATTCGCCTCCACCACCTGTCGGTGCCAGAGTTTTAGGGAACCCCTGCTGCGGACATAAGAACCAGGATGTCCTCAGGGGTCTCTGCTGGGCTCTTCCACCCCGTGGCCAGCTGAGACCGAGGAGGCTGGGCCCCACCAAAGAGCATCCCCCCAGTGCTCCCTCCCGGGGTGCCCTCCCCTGCTTCACCAGCCGGCCATCAGGGCCTCTCAGGCAGACCCAGCTCCCTTAGGCCACAGCTCGCCCACGCTCCCTGGTCCGTTTCCATCTCTGCGATAAAACACCGGTGCGGGTAGGAAAAAGGTCTCTTTGCTACCTCCCAGCTCTGGAGGCCAAAGTCCGAAGTTGGGAGCTCCACGCTGAAAGGTCCCTCCACCTCTCAAGCCTCCAGCATGTGATGGGTGGGCAGGCCACCTTGCTGTCCCCTGCCGTCGGGCCGCCCGTCATTTCCCCACCCCAGCTGCAGACCTGACCCGCCCTCACCTGGAGCCCTCATGGCCCTCCTCTCTGGCCCTGCGCAGGGCTGTTTCCAGCACTCAGGAGCTTCTGCTTCTGCCCCTCCCGCTGCTGCAAACGTCCTTCCCGAGTTGGCCATTGGTCAAGGTGGGGTGCCAGTGCCAGGACCTGTGGGAGGACAGGTGGGATGGCCTGTGCCCCTTGGCCTTGCCACCTGCCAATGCGGGGTACGCTCTGGTGAGGGCCTGCGGCAGGTGTGCAGTGCCTTGGTGGTGTCGGCCGGAGCCAGAGTGTGAGGCGCAGGTGTACGAGGGACCCCGTGCCAAGCCTGGGCTGCTTCCACTTTCCTTCCTGCTGCTGAGGCCGCAGCATTCCCACTCTTCTGGGGAGGGAACTTCGGAACTTGGGAAGGCTACAAATATTGCCACACTTTGCTCAGCTCCTTGGGAGTCTAGAAAAAGTTCATGCTGAAGTCAAGAGACTGGAGGGCTGAGTGGGGAGATCAAGGGACAGGATTTGGGGGACATTTCCTGCAGAGGGGCTGCAGCGTGCTCTGCAGAGACCCTGCTGTCAAAGGCATGAGGGACGATCATGGGCCGGAAGCCCAGGCAGAGGTGTCCTGGGTGACACAGTATTGCATGACCAGGAGCTGCGGCATCAGCTGCAGTGGCCACAGCCCGGCCTGCAGGGCGTCAGCCACCCAGGCAGGAGGCCACAGCAGGGCAGAACGGCACTGTGTGTGGCAGGGACCACACAGTCATGGTTGCTTTTCTTCGTAGCTCGGGAAGCAGAAGAAAAAGTACATGCCGTACAATCACCAGCACAAGTACTTCTTCCTGAGTGAGTGTGCCCCACACCCTGTGTGGCTTGGCTGGGGTGGGAGGTGCTAGGGTAAGGGTGGCCGCCTCCAGCAGAGCAGAGCCACCCTGACCTGGCAGACGGCCACCCCAGGGACCAGGACGAGTGCGGGAGCCCAGGGGCTCAAAACTGCTGCCCAGATTCTTCCTGCACACTGCTGTCTACTCGTTGTAGAAGTCTGTTTCAAATGCTCCAATTTGAGCTGCACAACTTTCAAATTTTATACTTTAAAAGGCAGGGAGGGGAGAACGTGATTGTCTGTTTCCCGCTCTAGAGGTGGCGGGCCAGTGGCTTGGGGCTGCAGGGAGGGAGGTGGCCCTCTGGCCCGGTGTACGGGTGGAGCAGGGTCTTCAGCCCATAACTTCCTTCCTAGAGGAGCCGCTCTGCTCTAGCAGTGAGGGCCCGGCTGCAGGTGGGGGCAGTACAGCCCAAGCCCTGTCTGAGGAATGGAGCGCTGCCTGCGAGGAGCAGCCGTCGGGCAGTTCCTGCCCCGTCCCACCTGAGACCAGAACCTGGGCTGCAGGCTGGGCTGTGGTGGAGGCCTGGGAATGCAGTGGCGCCCATCCCAAGGCGGGAGCAGGCGTCTCCCCTGCCTGGCGTCCTTGGTGGTCTGGCTTCTCCAGACTTGCTCCCGCCCCGGTGGCGGTCGCTGTGGTGTGGGCTGGTGGCAGGGTGACCCGGATGTTTCCAAGGTGGCCCCACAGCAAGCTGTCGCTGCTCACACCGCCCCTCTCCTTTCTCCCCAGTCGGTCCCCCGGCCTTGCTGCCGCTCTTCTTCCAGTGGTACATCTTCTACTTTGTCGTCCAGCGGAGGAAATGGGTGGTAAGGGCCTGAGGAGCCCCACGCACGTTCGCTGGTGCCCTGGGGAGGGGCGAGGGCTCTCCAGGGCAGACAGGATGGCTCTAGGCCCAGTGCAGAGCAGTCACGGCTCCAAGTGAAGGTGCTCCCCGTCTCTCCGTGGCTTGCAGCAGCTGGGCAAGGCAGTGCCCACATGGGGGCCCTGTGCTGAAGCAGAACGGCTGTGACTCCAGAGGGTCAGGGGTGCGGAAGGGGCCTGACCGGGTGCCCTGCGTAGTCCCTTTTCCAGCCGGCCCCCAAGGATGGGCTGGAGCTGACAGGAGAGGACTGCGGGCCAGGCTGAGAAGTGGGGCTCGGGGTGTGGTGCCCACATGTCACTAGGCAGAAAGGGCCCCCGTGAGGGGATCTGGGTCCCAGTTCCTCTACCCCATGGAGATGGGGCGGGGCAGGGCGGGCGGCAGAAGCCCCACGGCAGCACCCTTGCGCCGGCCTGCAGGACCTGGCCTGGATGCTCACCTTCTACGCGCGCCTCTTGCTCACCTACGTGCCGCTGCTGGGGCTCCAGGGCTTCCTGAGCCTGTTCTTCATTGTCAGGTAGTGCTGGCCGGCGCAGGGCGGGCGCGTAGGCTGCGGAGGCCGCAGTCACTCAGTTGTCACTGCCATTGCCTGCAGGTTCCTGGAGAGCAACTGGTTCGTGTGGGTGACGCAGATGAACCACATCCCCATGCACATCGACCACGACCGCAACGTGGACTGGGTCTCCGCGCAGGTGAGAGCCCCGCACCCGTGTCTGGCTGCTCCCCGCCGCCAGGCTGGCGCTGACCCCGGACCCGCCCTCCCTCCAGCTCCAGGCCACCTGCAACGTGGAGCAGTCCTTCTTCAACGACTGGTTCAGCGGGCACCTCAACTTCCAGATCGAGCACCAGTGAGTGGGGCTGGCGGGGAGGCTGGG